ATAAAAGGTCATTTCCAGAAAAGGACTTCCCTTTCATGGGACATTCCTTGGTTTGAATCTTTCCAAAAGTAACACGATGTAGACTAGCTGGTGATGCCATTGTTGTTCCATGTTGCCTATAACGTACTTATTTTATTCATAATTCACTTATTTATATGCAGGCCTACCTCCCGTATTGGGAAGTCCACAGAAGAATCCTTAGTAAACCAGCCTTAGAGATGGACACTCACGTTGTTTGTAGTTTATATATATATATATATATGTGTGTGTGTGTATATATATATTTTTTTTTCTTTTTTTTTTTTCAAAACAGAGTCTCACTCTATTGCCCGGGCTAGAGTGCTGTGGCATCAGCCTCGCTCACAGCAACCTCAAACTCCTGGGTCCAGGTGATCTTCTGGCCTCAGCCTCCCGAGTAGCTGGCACTATACGCATGCGCCACCATGCCCGACTAATTTTTTCTATATATTTTTAGTTAATTTCTTTCTATATTTATAGTAGAGACGGGGTCTCGCTCTTGCTCAGGCTGGTTTCAAACTCCTGACCTTGAGCCATCCTCCCACCTCGGCCTCCCAGAGTGCTAGGATGACAGACGTGAGCCAAGTAGTTTTTATATATATTATTTTAAAAACCTCAAGTTAAACTTCTGTGTTACACATTTTCACACCTATCTAATTCTCTCCTTGGGCCAGACTGCCTTCTAGAAAGATCATACTAGCTTGCATTCCACCAAAGGTACCTGAGTGTTGGTTTTAGCACGCCCTTCCTGACCTTTACCATTTTTGACAATTTGTTAACTGAGAGTGATCTCTCCCTGTTGCTTATTTTAATTTTATTTTTTTAGAGACAGGGTCTTGCTCTGTTGCCCAGGCTGGAGTGCAGTGGCACAATCATAGCTCCCTGTAACCTTGAACTCCTGAGCTCAAGAGATCTTCCTGCCTCAGCCTCCCAAGCAGCCGGAACTTACACGTGCACACCACCACACCTAGCTAATTTAAACAAAAAAATTTTTTTAAATGGGGTCTTACATTGTTGCCCAGCCTAGTCTCAAACTCCTAGCTTCAAGCAATTCTCCCACCTCTGCCTCCCAAAGTGCTGGGATTATAGGCATGAGCCACTGTGCCCAGACATTGTTTATTTTAAAATCTTCATTAATCAGTGAGAGTTGAATTAGTTTCGTGCTTATGGGCAATTTTCATTTTTCCTTTACTGCATTGCTTCTGAGTTATTTGTGTATTTTTATACTGAAATAGTCACCATTTATTAGTGATTGAGAGCCTTGTGTATTAGGGATATGAATATAGGTTTGTATATGTTGCGACTATTTTTCACAGTTTGTTATTTGTTTTTTAGCTTTTCTCAACAAGAATTTCCTGAAAGAATTAAACCTGAATTCCCTTCTGTACATAGTGAATTAACTTCTGTCTTAGACATCTACAGTGATACCAGTTGCATACAACTGGTAGAATTTAGAAATTAGTCACTCAGTTCATTTTCTGTGGTCTGTGCTTCAGATGAGGAATCCCAGGAGAGAAATTTGTCTTTGCTTTTACTGGCTTCTCCCTGCGCTTTTTTCATTATTTGGATCAAAATGTTATGTCTTGAATCATCTCGAATGTAGTGAATCATTCTCTATGTGCGGTAAAATAGTCCATGTAATTTCATGACCCTTAATCAGAGACCTAGTTGCTCCAATATCATGTATTTAATAGTCTAACTTTGCCCTACTGATTTGTAAAATCATATATTTTTGTATACTAAATTCTCATATATTCACGGGACAGCTGTGGATTCCTAATTCTTTTCCATCAATTAACTTCTCTATTCTGGTACCAATACCACAGTGTTTTAATGCCTGAAAATTTAAGGATTATTGATACCTTTAAAATATTCAATTTTCTTATCCAAACACAAGGTATAACTTGTCATTTCTTCCAGATTTCTCCTATGCCCTTCAGGAAAGTTATTTAAAAAAGAATAATAAATTGTAATGTGCATTTTATAAATTACAGTAGTCATATATGCTCTTTGTAATGAGTCAACTCAAAAGAAAAAGACTATATATATACACACACACACACATGCCTGGATTAATTATAAAAACTTTATGTTAAAATTTTTTTTTCAGAAAATAACTTTAATATATCATATCCTTTCTGTTAAGTTTTAAACATACAAAATAAAATAGATTTAAAATTTTTTTAAAGGATTATATGTTTACTGTTGCATAGTATATGTTAGAGTACACAGAGAAGGAGTATAAAACATGAAGACATGCACACAAATGACAACCACCAGCTTCAGAAAGGAAGACACAGAGTGACCCAGGAGACACACGCAGGCTACTCAGTCCCATCTGGGGTAACTTTGTGTTTATTGTATTCATTAGTCCTAAGACTTTTTTGAATGTCTGAAATATTTTATAATAAATATCTAAGTTAATGCTCTCACCCACTAATCCTTACCCAATGCCACCATTAGGAGACAAACAACTTTGTGTGCTTCTGTCCACACTTATTAATGCTCACAGAAAAAAATACAAATATATACACACAAATGTTTTCTTTTTTCTTTTTAAAAATAATAATGGGATTCTACCATATATATTAACTCCTTAATGTCACTTTAAAATTAACGGCCTGAGGCCGGGCGCGGTGGCTCACGCCTGTAATCCTAGCACTCTGGGAGGCCAAGTTGGGCGGATTGCTCAGGGTCAGGAGTTCAAAACCAGCCTGAGCAAGACCCCGTCTCTACCAAAATATAGAAAGAAATTAATTGACCAACTAAAAATATATGTACCAAAAAATAATTAGCCGGGTATGGTGGCGCATGCCTGTAGTCCCAGCTACTCGGGAGGCTGAGGCAGGAGGATCGCTTGAGCCCAGGAGCTTGAGGTTGCTGTGAGTGAGGCTGATGCCACGGCACTCTAGCCCAGGTGACAGAGGAAGACTCCGTCTCAAAACACAAAATAAAAAGGAAGCAAAAGTAGGCATCCTTGTCTTATCCCTGATCTTAGAGGAAAAGCATTCGGTCTTTTACTATTGAGTATGATGTCAGTTGTGGATTTTTCATATATGCTATTTAACATGTTGAGAATGTTCCCTTCTATTCCTAGTTCATTAAGTGTTTTTGTCATGGAAAGGTGTTGGATTTTGTCAAATGCTTTTACTACATTAGTTGAGACTCTGGCTGGGCGTGGGGGCTCACACCTGTAATCCCAGCACTCTGGGAGGCCGAGGCGGGTGGATTGCTCAAGGTCAGGAGTTCAAAACCAGCCTGAGCAAGACCCCGTCTCTACCAAAATATAGAAAGAAATTAATTGACCAACTAAAAATATATGTACCAAAAAAAAATTAGCCGGGCATGGTGGCGCATGCCTGTAGTCCCAGCTACTCGGGAGGCTGAGGCAGGAGGATCGCTTGAGCCCAGGAGTTTGAGGTTGCTGTGAGCTAGGCTGACGCCACGGCACTCACTCCAGCCAGGGCAACAAAGTGAGATGCTGTCTCCAAAAAAAAAAAAAAAAAAGAAGAAGAAGAAAGAAAGAAAAAAAAGAGACTATTATGTGGGTTTTACCCCCTTCTTTCTATTAAAGTGGCATATTACATTGCTTGATTTTTGTATGTTGAACCACTGTGGCCTTCTGGAATAAATCCCCCTGAATTCACTTTGCTAGTATTTTGTTCAAGATTTTTGCATCTACTTTGATAAAGGATATTGACCTGCTTTTTTGGTTGTTTTGGGTTTTTTTTTTTTTACCTGCTTTTATTTTGCTTGTTCCCATTACACAGCTTCTCAAAAGCTATATAATTACATTCACGGCTTACTCTCTGCTCCATACCCCGCAAAAGCATTCTTCATTGTTTCGTGCAGCGACGTAGTTCAAACCGCTTCCAATAGTGCTTGGCACACACCAGCTCAGTACCCTTCTGGGAAATGGGACGGTCCTTGGCCACTATCTCGTGCCCTCCCATCATTCACACAGACACAAAGCCCGCCCTAGTCCCTTCCCAGATAACCGGAACCCACAGCCCTACAGCGCAGCAGGGCCCTCACCTGGCGGGGTGTGAGCACCTGACAGCTCAGTCCACGCCCGGCCCTTATAAGGAGACTACAGCAGGAGAACTACACTTCCCAGAATGCCTGGGTTCCCCGACCGCTGGACTACATTTCCCAGAGGCACGCGCGGCCGCCGCCGCCCCCCGGACCTGAGCG